CCAAGGTCACACCAGAAGCTGCATGTGGAGGAGTGGGGCATCAAACCCGGTTCTCCCAGATTAGAATCCGTGCTCCTAAACACTCTGGGCCAGTTTGGCTGGAGATCCTGGAGGTTGTTTGTCGTCTTGTGGGCGAGGATCACTGGGGGTGTGGGGGTGGGGAGGTATTTGGGGTTGGACTAGATGACCCTGGAGGTCCCTTCCAACTTTGTGATTCTGTGACCCCGGGGCCCACAGCTTTCCTTGCCAAACTCCCCCCCTTCTTCCAAGAAGGTTCCCTAAAGGCAGGTTGGAGTTGACCCCCCCCAACCACTTGCCCTTTTCTCTCCTCCCTCCGGCCGGCCTTTCTCTTGTTTGTGTCTCATTCCAGAGTCCGCCCCGCCCGCGTTTCCTGTTTGCTTTGGCACCCTTGGCAGCCGCCTGCCTGTTGACCTCACCACATATGTTTTTCGCTCTGCGTTTGGGGGGGGAGTTGAGGGGCCGTGCTGGAAGAAGAAGAAGAGATTGGATTTATACCCCGCCCTTCACTACCCAAAGGTGTCTTAGAGCGGCTTACAGACTCCTTTCCCTTCCCCTCCCCACAACAGACACCCTGTGAGGTGGGTGGGGCTGAGAGAGCTCTTGACAGAAACGGCTCTTTTTCAAGAACAGCTCTTATCAGAACTACGGCTTGCCCAAGGTCATCCAGCCAGGTGCAAGTGGAGGAGTGGGAAATCAAACCCGGTTCTTCCAGATTAGAGTCCGTGCACTTAACCACTACACCAAACTGGCTCTTAAGGGGAAGGGGCTTGGGGTGTTGGCCCCTCCTCCTGGGCGGGAGGCAATGTTCCCTCTAAGCTGTGGAGTCTCGTGAGCAAAAATTCTACTTTGTGAGCTACTGGTATTAAAGTTGTGAGCAAGCGATTTGGCTGCTGCGTAAATTGGTTTGCTCTGGAGCCATCCTTCCTGAGCGGAGACAAAAATCTGTGAGCCGGAGGCTAAAAGACTGTGTGCTAGCTCACACTAACTCAGCTTAGAGGGAATACTGGTCTCAATGTTCCCCCTAAGCTGTGGAGTCTCGTGAGCAAAAATTCTACTTTGTGAGCCAGTGGCATTAAAGTCATGAGCGAGCGTTTTGGCTGCTGCGTAAATTGGTTTGCTCTGGAGCCATCCTTCCTGAGCGGAGACAAAAATCTGTGAGCCGGAGGCTAAAAGACTATGAGCTAGCTCACACTAACTCTGCTTAGAGGGAACACTGGTCTCAATGCTCCCTCTAAACTGTGGAGTCTCGTGAACAAAAATTCTACTTTGTGAGCTACTGGCATTAAAGTTGTGAGCAAGCGATTTGGCTGCTGCGTAAATTGGTTTGCTCTGGAGCCATCCTTCCTGAGCGGAGACAAAAATCTGTGAGCCGGAGGCTAAAAGACTGTGTGCTAGCTCACACTAACTCAGCTTAGAGGGAACACTGGAGGGAGGAGCTAATTCCCCTGCCGAAGAGGCGCAGATGGGCATGCTGTGCCAGGCCATGGAGCCGCTTTGCCCTTTGCTCACACTGCTCCAGAACAGCCATTTGGCCCGTCTGCTAATGTTACGTGCATGAGCCGGTCCTGTGCGCCCTCCCTTCATGTGTGGAGGGAGGTACTCTGATCCCAGCAGGCTTACAATCGCCTTCCCTTCCTCTCCCCGCGGCCGGCAACTTGTGGGGCTGAGAGAGTTCTGGGAGAACTGATGGGCAGTGGGTTCAGGACGGACAACAGGAAATCCTACTATATGCAGAGAGGGATTCAAATGCGGGATCTACTGCCAGAGGATGTAGTGAGGGCCACAGGAACAAACCGCTTTAAAAGAACAGCTTGTTCTCAGTAATGTTGCTCAGGCTGGCAGAAGTGATTAACTTGCAGCAGCTGAGGACTGTCATCGAAAGTGGTTGACAGCTTGCAATTTAGAGATCTGTCCTAGTAACAGCTTTCTTTTGGCTAAATGGCTTTTCTTTCTGCACTGAGAAGTTAAGCTCTACCAGGCTACAGGCCTGGCTAGAACGTGAGTCCATCAGTCCTATTTATTGGAAAGAAGAGAAGAGATTGGATTTATACCCCGCCCTTCACTACCCAAAGGAGTCTCAGAGTGGCTTACAAACCCCTTTCCCTTCCCCTCCCCACAACAGACACACCCCGTGAGGTCGGTGGGGCTGAGAGAGCTCTGACAGAAACTGCTCTTTTTCAAGAACAACTCTTATCAGAGCTAAGGCTTGCCCAAGGCCATCCAGCCAGGTGCAAGTGGAGGAGTGGGGAATCAAACCCGGTTCTCCCAGATTAGAGTCCGCGCACTTAACCACTACACCATACTGGAGTTATTTCAGATGTTGAATGACAGCAGGCAAATAACAACAGCAGGTGAATAACAATAGCAGGTGTGATTGGATTAGGTGAAGTGAATGTCTTGTGTCACCTAAGTGTCTCTAAAGTAGCAAGTGTTTGTTCCTTCCAGCCCCAAAGTTCTATTCCATAAAATATAGGGAAGATAACTTTGCTGTTAAAAAGCTGGATCTATAAGAAAGTCCCGCTTGGTTCGGTAGAATCTCAGGATTCCTCCTGTTATCTTAGTTGCTGATGCTTTAATAGAGACTACATGCGCATTCCAGTTCAGCGTTTCAGTAAAAATTGCAAGTATTTATAGATCTTGCATTGTTCTATTGGGATACCTTGTATGTTCCAGGAATGTCTTTTAGGTCTTTTTCAGAAGACCACTACTTTAGTTCTTGAGTAATTGATGGTCAGATTCACAATATCCTCCTAGTTTGTCCAGAAGTCTCTTTAAACCATCCCTAGTTAGGGAAAATAGAACCGTATCACCTGTATAAAGCAGTATTGATGTTTTCTGCTGGCCTACCGTAGATGAAACAAGTTCGGGGCCATTTAGCCTGGGAACTGTGTCATTTATGTATAAACTAGGAGCAAAGCCCATTGTAGAAGGAATACAACGAGCCCTAGGAAGACATGACAGAGCCCCCCCCCAGTCCTACGCTTTCTCCCCCCTCCCCAGAGGCCAGGGTCGAGGGGCAACAGAAGGTCCCACCACTGGCTTTGTGTCCAGTGGCCTCTGGGCCGCCTCCACTGCCGCCGACACCCATTCAGTCGCAGCTCGTGCAGGTACCTGCAGCGGGCTCGGCAGGTTCGGGCTCAGCCTGATTAGCGTCCGCCTGCTGGAGCATCCTGCCCGGCCGCCGGCTCCGAGCCTACTGAGGCTGAGACGCTGGGCGGCGGTTTGGTGGGTGGGACGACAGCAACGCAGCCAGCCACGCAGCCAGTGGGTAGAGATGCTGTTTGAGTGACACAGCAGCGAGCCAACTGATTCGGGAGTGTGTGGAAGAGTCCACAACCAAAACAGCATTATATATAAGGAGAGATTGAAAAGTGCTTTACCCCTTTACTTGTTGATATTTTGCTAGTCAAAGAGCCTGAGATGCCTACTTTGATCCTTGTAGACGTATCTGAGTATAACTCACAAATTAAAAACAACAATCTCTTGTCCATGTTTGTCTTCTCTAGAGATGTGAAGAACCGGAAAAATTCGGGGGGAAAACAGTTTTTTTCCATTTTTTTCCTGAAGCCTTTTTTTGTTTTTTTCTGAAAAATTGAAAAAAGAAAATAAAAGAAAAAAAATTGATTATGGAACGTTTTATTTTAACATGATGAATAAAATATTTTAGGACAAGGCATTCAAATATTTTCCAAATCATTTCTAAAAAATATGTATGGTATCAGATTGATCTAATTTCTGTGCACTGAGGACAAGCACAAGTCCTAGGTTACAAACTGAACTCTCCAATGCAAGAACAAAATGCATTTCTTCCTTTGGAGGTGCTATTGTCACAAGAAAAAAAAGTTTCAGTTTTGTTTTTGCATGTGGGTGGGTATTCTGTTTGTAATAACTGTTTGGATACACTATATTTTTAATATGCTAGTTGCGATAATTTCATGCCAAGTAAAAATGTCCATAGTCGTATTTTATGTTCCTAAAGTAACAGAATGACTTTCAATCTGGAAAAGAAAAAAGAAGTGCTAATGTAGCATTTTTTTCAATTTTTCTGAAAATTTCGTCTTTTCCCCGGAAAAAAATGGGTTTTTTTCCTGAGCTTCAAAATTTCCGGAAATTTTACATCTCTAGTCTTCTCCAGTTTATCCCAAAGCCGATCCCTATTGGTCAAGTCAAAAGCTGTTGCCACGTACAATAAACTTTATTCTGCTATGTCACCTAAGTGTGCTTTATTCCACCTCTTGCAGGTCCGGTGTGACTTACCTCCATGGACCATGCTGGGACAGAGATGTTTGCGGCCTTGGGATCCTCTCCTTAAGGCGCCCCGTGATACAGTAATGAAGTTGTCGTCTTCGATGGCTCTTTGGTGATCTCTGCTTCCAAGAGCAGCTCCTCAAGAAAGAAAAAGCTCCGAAGTTCGAGGCCAGAAGGTTGGTTCTCGTCTTCGGGGAAGAAGTTCAGCGATGGAATTGGAGAAAATGACCCAAACTGCACAGCCTCAGGTAGGTGGAGGTGCTAGCCAGAACATTGTGGGGAATTCACATTGTGTGGAAGCTCCCATCTCCTGGGAGTGCCAGGTCCCTGAGAGATTAAGTTTGCCTCTACTAGGGCCAGGGCATTTTCGGTGGTGGCTCCTACCTGGTGGAATGAGCTCCCAGAGGAGATCCGGGCCCTACGGGACCTTATGCAGTTCTGCAGGGCCTGCAAGATGGAGCTCTTCCCCCAGGCTTTTGACCTCCACCGCGCTGCCATTTTTGGCAATGCGAACTGGCCTTGGGAATGAAGAACGCACATCGTGCAGACCGATCAAGAAGAGACAGTAGAACCTCTGGAACATTGCATTGGAGTCTCCGTCTTGGATGATATATTGTTGTGAGCACCGATTTTAAATGTAAATGTAATTGATTGTTTTATCTGGTTTTAGTGTTGTGTATGGCAGTTGCCTCTTGTTCGCCGCCCTGAGCCCATGTGGAAGGGCGGGATATAAGTCAAATAAATAAATCTGTTTCTTTTCTGGGCAGAGCCGGCGAGTTTCCTTTGCCAATCCAATCTATCAGGAAGAATTGGCAGATGATATTGATAGGCGAAGCCCTGCCGTTAGAAATCATTCTTCAAATGGGTCTCCGTCTTCCCGAAGCATTAAACCTTCTTCTAATCATCAAACCAAGGTAATACCAATGACTCTCTTTATTCAAAGGAGTTTTCCAGAAGAAATACTCTCTCCATGGTTCAAGAACTTTGTGTCTGATTAACTGGAGGAAGGGAAGTTCTTCAGTCATGAGCAAGTGCTAAGGCTTAGAATTAAAGATCTTCAAGTGTCAGCAGAAGGCATTTTTGTGGATACCCCCTCTCTTTCCCAGAAATCCCAGTGTCCTCCAAAAAATTCCTATGCTAAGTGCAGGTGTTCCAGAATGATGTGTGATACAGCACAGAGAGGGGCCCAAAGAGGAAGAAGGATCAACTGTATGTGTACAGAAGTGCTTTTAGTTGAGTATATAACAATCTTTGGTTCCAAGTATATAGGCTTAATCCAAAAAACTCATGGAGGTAAATTCATACAGCTATATGCAGTTTGTAAAAAAAACATAGTTTGCTGAGCTAGTTCATAACAAGAGATACTTGCTGCTTCTACCGGGCGTGAGCCCGATTCTGTTTTAAACTCTTAGGCATTGCCCTGTTTCTAAATTAGCAGACCTCTCTTTAGTTGTAGGATTTCAGTAAGATTAATCATAGGCTTTTAGCTTATTCCTATGATCCTGAGAGACCTTTTTTTCCTCTTTTCCTATCCAGCCTATTACCACTCCAACCAAAGGACCCCTCTCCCCCGGATCTCGTAGCCATAAATATAAGAGCTCAAAGAAGTGTTTAGTAAGATTTGTTTCAGTTTTATGTATTCTCTATTTTTTCCTTTATTCAGCTCTTAAAACTTAATCAAATTTAATAATTTTCTCTGTTGTTCAAGATCAGTGAAATGGTCAAAGAAACTCTACCGTCTCCTACAGAAAGCATATATCCAGCGCTGCAGGGTTGTAAGGCACCTGTTGACACCATTTTGCCTCAGATTACATCAAATATTTGGTGAGTAGCAAGCACCAGGTTTGATTCACAAATGTTTATGGCTAATATTGTGTTGCCATTTCTTCTCATGGTGCTCACAGCATACTTATTCACAGGAAGGTTATACTCTTGAGCCACAAAAAGAACTAGTACCAGATGATGTCTTCTGTTGCGGAACACTTACAGAAGAAGAAAAAACCCACCAGAGTTTTCTTGGTGTATTATCTAGATGGAATTTTGAGTCTAGCCTTGCAGTTTTCATAAGAGGATGGAAAGTAGACTGTTGGTACATTCTCCTTCAGTGGGGGAAGACATCCAGATTGGCTAGGGGCAGGGTTCAGTTGGAGCAGGAGCGCACAGGAGCGGCGCTCTGCCAGTTAACAAGTTGACTCTCTAAGTCCAGTCTTTTGGCTGAGAAGTTTTTCCGGAGAACTTCTGTTTGGTGATAGGGACCTAGAAAAAGTTATTTTAGAGACCAAAGAGAATAGGAAGGCCATGCCATCAACGTCAAGGATAAGGATGGTAGAGTGACATAATTTCATTCCTTTACTAAGTAAAGGGCACCAATGCGAGGCAGGGAGAACAAGGGTTTCAGAGGCTCCTGCTCTTCAGGATACTGATCCAGATTCCAGCAAAGTTCATCAGGGCAAGAGATGCCAACACAGCAAACAAGGACACCAGGACCACCATGGAGGTGTTTGCAGTACATGGTTCCTGATAAACATTCAGAAAAGTCAGATCACTGAATCCAGATGCTTAGTTGATCTTGGGGTAAAATGGCGGCGGCAGCCCCAGGCCAGATCCGTGTCTGCCGTTAACTTGCAGTCTGGCTCTTGAGTCTACCTAAAGTTAGCAAGTCAGGCCGAGAAGCCGTAGAACTGTCAGTCCAGATCATCAGCTTTCCCGGACGCGTCGTAAAAATTGGTAGCGTAACAAGATCCTGTCACGTCCAGAGCTCAGACGTCCTCAGGGCTTTATAAAACACTCCTTAAAAAGGGCGCTTGTCGACACATTTCGCAAAAGTCAGTGGCTGTAACTGTTTTATTTTCCCCTCGTTTGCAAGTACACTGCGACTTTTCGAATGACTTTTCTCTCAGTTTCTGTTCTTCGTGCGTTTGGGGAGCTCTTGGGGTGTGTATAAAAATATGTGTTACGAGCGACTTGGACAGAGGGTATATTGCGTGTGACCTCAAAAGGAGAATCTGGATCGCGAATGTGTCGGCAGCATTTGTCGCTCAGTCTCTTTTAAATACCTGGCTTTTGTATCTATGACTTCTCACACATGAACCTACCTGTTCACTTCCGTCATCTTTGAGCTGGTTTTGGTGTCGTGGTTAAGAGTGCGGACTCTAATCTGGGAGAACGGGGTTTGATTCCCCACTCCTCCCCATGCAGCTGCTGGCGTGACCTTGGGTCAGTCACAAGTTCTCTCAGAGCTGTTCTCTCAAGGGCAGTTCTCGCGAGAGCTCTCTCAGCCCCACCTACCTCACAGGGTGTCTGTTGCGGGGAGGGGAAGAGAAAGGAGATGGTAAGTCGCTGTGAGACTCCTTTGGGTACTGAAGGGTGGGGTATAAATCCAATCTCCTCCTCCTCCTCTTCCTTCTTCCCTGCTTGAGTTTCTCCTGCAACAAAACTTTGGGACTTTCATGAGATGCTGTGGCTCAGTGGTAGAGCTTCTGCTTGACATGCAGAAGGTCCCAGGTTCAATCTCCATCTTATCCAGTTCAGGTTCAATCTCCATCTTATCCAGTTATTGACACCCCTTCCCGGTTCTAGTCTTTGCATTTTTATTGAATTATTTTCTAAATTTTAACTGTGTGTGTGGGTTTCCCCCCCCATTGTTCAAATGTTTTCACCTTTTCATGATTGTCGCCGCGGGGGACCCTGATGGGGTGGAAGGGCGGCATAAAAATGTTCTACATGAAATACTAATCCAAGTGGCACACATGGGCCCCGATCCAGCAAGGTCTACTGAGCCAGTGGAAGTCATAAACGTTAATGCCAGCGGCTCACAAAGTAGAATGTTTGCTCACAAGACTCCACGGCTTAGAGGGAACATTGGTCTGCTGCTGGTCCAAGTAGACAAGACTGATCTTGATGGACCAAGGGTCTGAGATTCAGTATCAGGTGGGTTCACCTGTGAACTCCCTCCCTGGGGAGGTTTGTCTGTCTCCCTCTACTGGTGTCTTCTACCTGCGGACGAAGACTTTTTTTTTTGTTTCATTTGGCATACCACCCATAACAGTTATTGACACCCCTTCCCAGTTCTGGTCTTTGCATTTTTCTCGCTGGATCAGACATATAGTCCGTTTCGTCCAGCATCCTGCCTCACACAGGGGGCCGGCCAGTTCCTCTGGAGGGCCAGCAGCAGGGCAGAGAGGCCAAGGCCTTCATAAGAACCTAAGAAGAGCCCTGCTGGATCAGACCAGTGGTCCATCTAGTCCAGCATCCTGTCTCACACAGGGGCCCCAACTAGTTCCTCTGGAGAGCCAACAGCAGGGCAGAGAGGTCCAGGCCTTCATAAGAACCTCAGGAGAGCCCTGCTGGGTCAGACCAGTGGCCCATCTAGTCCAGCCTCCTGTCTCACACAGTGGCCAACCAGTTCCTCTGGAGGGCCAACAACTGGGTGTAGAGGTCCAGGCCTTCATAAGAACATCAGAAGATCCCTGCTGGATCAGACCAGTGGTCCACCTAGTCCAGCATCCTGTCTCACACAGTGGCCAACCAGGTCCTCTGGTGGGCCAGCAACAGGGCAGAGAGGCTGAGGCCTTCCTAAGAACCTCAGAAGAGCCCTGGATCAGACCAGAGAGGGCCCCTCTAGTCCAGCATCCTGCCTCACACATTGGGTGTCCAGTTCTTCAGGGCCAACAACAGGACATAGAGGCCGAGGCCTTCCATAGCTGGATGGGGAACAGCATAAGCAAGCATTTCGCATCCAGCTCCCCTCTCCCTGGTTGGCGGCTGCATATAACAGGGACTGTTCAGAATAGCTAAAATCCCACATCAGCTGTTTGAGTGGCTGAATTTAACCTCTCCCGCTCAGCTGATTAGGTGGGGTGCAGCGAGCTTTCAAGCTCTCAGCTGCACACCCCAGATAGTTTTTGTTCTTCTCATGTGCAAAATACAGCTTATTCCTTATGTGAAATAGACTTGGGGTTTTTTTGTTTCACCTGGCATAATGGCTGTTGGCTCTCCCGAGTGTTGTTTGTGTGTCTTGAATTGAATTGTTTTATAACTGTTTCTTTCCTTTTAATTGCTCAAAGGTTTTAATGTTCTTATGTTTGCCTCCTTGCGGACCCTGATGGGTGGAAAGGCAGCTTTAAAAAGTAGTGACTAGCACTGTTCCCTCTAAGCTGAGTTAGTGTGAGCTAGCTCACAGTTCTTTAGCCTCCGTCTCACACATTTTTGTCTTAGCTCAGGAAGGATGGCTCCAAGCAAACTAATTTATGCAGCAGCCAAATCACTTGCTCACAACTTTAATGCCAGTGGCTCACAAAGTAGAATTTTTGCTCACAAGACTCCACAGCTTAGAGGGAACATTGGTGACTAGTGAAAAATACCTTCAGACCGTGTGTGGAAGGTTTGCGCCCTGTCCAGCACAGTATTGTTCCGCTATTCCTCCAAGAACCTCTAGGTGGCGTATGCAGTTCTTCCCTCCGGGCTGTACTCTCACAACAGTCCTGTGAGGTAGGATAGAATGAGAGCATGTGACAGGTCCATGGTGAGCTGTTCATTTCAGAGTGGAGGTTTGAACCCGGGGTCCATGACATTGGCCACTAACCATGCTGCCTCTCTGTGACTGAATGTCAAAAAAACCTTTCTCTGTACACGGAGAATGGTTATGTCTGGGACACAGAGAGCCTAGCTAGAGTCACCCTGGCGTACAAGATGTCTATGTACAAAGCCTTCCTTCCTTCCTTCCTTCCTTCCTTCCTTCCTTCCTTCCTTCCTTCCTTCCTTCCTTCCTTCCTTCCTTTCTTCTCTACAATGAGTACAGTTTCATTTCCAGGAATACATTAGCTCTTAATAGCCTTCCCAGTTTTCAGATTGTGTCTCCCTAGCAGCCGGCCCCTCCAAACAGGCTGCTAGGGAAAGTGATCTGAAACCCAAATCAGGAAACTTCCCACTTCTGGAATCCAGCAACC